ATTGAAAAATAAATCATATTTGAATTCAAACTAATAACAAAAATAAATTATAGTTTCTACGTTAATCTTCAATACTTTCTCTTAGTATAGAAATTATAAGTACCAAATTTGTCTTTTTGGAGGACATCATTCCAACATATCTTATTTAATCGTCATATTTTGAAGCACTTCTTTTCAATTATTAATGAACTCCTCACCAACCTCCAATTATTCATGCACTTCTCATCAATCTTCAATTATTGACTTCTCATCAAAATCTAATTATTGTTACACTTCTTACCAATATCTCTTGGAAAAATTCTCTTTAAGTTTTAAAAAATAAAGATTCTTGTTCCGCAGCAAAATTCGCTTTCTCATTCTTAAACTTGAGATTTTTTTTATAAGCCAAAATATTTTACAATTAAAATATTGTGGTTTACCTTTATATCAACAACCTTTTCCATCATGATTATCTTTATTGCATACTCTGCACGGTGAAAACTTTCCCTTTTTAATGTTTTGGTGATGAAGTCCCTTCATTATTTTCTCTACAAATATATTTATTTTTCTCACATACCCATGACCAAAAAAGTCTTTGATACCATTTATTGAAGTTTTTCTAGATGAATAAGACTTGAAAGTCTCTGATACCTCGACATATTCTCGTTTAGCTTAAAGGAGACCCTCAAATTGCAGGCTGTAGATTGGTAAAGCTCCCAACAGCGGCATCATTTTTGACGAGTTGGCTTTTAAAGCTGGGAGGCTACGCCTCTATGCCCAAGCACAAAGATCCATGGCCGAAGCCTCAAAAAGAGAGATCAAATCGAGTTTGGATGATGAACCAAAAGCTTGAAAGTGGATAATTATAAAGAAAACCGTAACCCCTCCATCATCGGATTCCTAACTTCATTGGTGTGTCAGTCACTGCAAACATAGTATTCCTTTTTTTTCCATTTTATTGAGAAAAATATTGATGTGATCCTAAATGGCTCGAGTTTAAGTCCAAGGATGCAATCCTACATCAAGGAGGAATCCAGTGAAAACTAGGATTCCTACAAGATAATTACCCGCAAGTTTGCAGTCATACAAGAAGAGAGACATGCAGGCCATGGACAAGTGTTAGCCCAAACCGAGAGAGAGCATAAAGGCTGTTTGGCCAAAATTGGTTGCAACCAAGAAAAGGCCGCATACATGCATGGGGCTAGCTGTATTTATGAGAAGAACTACATGAACTTGCAAGGTCTTTCTCACGTGAGACCGATGCGTGTGGAAGATGCCATCCCCGCACGTAAGAGGCGTGTGAGTGTGCGAACTGCCAGGGCACATACGCCCACTTGTGCGGATCCACATGTCGTGCATACACGGGCAAAAATTTCCACCCGCATGGGTGAAACATGCAAGCAACAATTTGATGTTGAGAAGATTCTTCTTCCTTCCAAATTTCCCGATGGCTAATTCTCAGGGGAGGACTCTACAACAACTATAGGACTAAATGAAGATTTGAAGCACATAAAAAATATGGAGATAAGGAGAAGATTTATCAAGTACTATTTTATTAACATTTTTATTAATATTTTAATATTAAGTTTTATCAATATAATTAATTAATTATTATCTTAGGATTAAGATTAAGAAAAAAATTATTTTATTAAGGTCTTTTAGTCTCTAAGATAGACTTTTATTATAATTTTAATTAAATATAACTGTTTGTAATTAAGTAGAATCTATTCGGTGAAAACCTATAAAAGGGCATCACCTTAGGTTGTAAAATGACAACTTTTATATTAATGAATTTTGAAGCTTTTGCTTTTTTGAAATTAGTTTGGCTAATTTTCTTGAAGTATTTTTCAAGTTCTTCAAAGTTAGAGAGTTTTTAGAAGTCCTATTGGGTCAACAAGTTGGGATCGAATTTTCGGATTAGTAGTGACGTCTTTCTTCTTTTAAAATTTCTTTTTTTCCTATTATATTATTTTTGCATGCCATATAGGTGGGTGTAGATTCAACTAGGGATAATAAATTAGGTAGTTAAATCTTTTGGTTGCATACATTTTTTGCTGAAATGAATGGCAGTTAAGTGAGTAGAAGTGTTTCAGGTTGCCATTATGTGAAAGATAACCCAGATTCACTCAAACGCAAGTCAAGTTTATCACTCTGTCTGGTCAATCACTTGCTTGTTGTGTAATTTACTGATAACAATTATAATTTTTGTTATTACTTTTTCACTAAAGCAATAACTTCCCCGAATAGTATAGAAACTGCCTCAATATAGCTATGGCTTTGGCTTTAAATAAGTTCTTCACAAACCTTGTTATTTACTTTATAAATAGTTTATTGTAATTCCCTCCATGCTCTCCTTCATCTTTCTTGTTAGGCCAAAGGTCATCACATTTTTTTTCTTTTATTTGAAATCCATCTCAAACAATTAGTGATACTAGGTTCAGAGACAAGTTGGCTTCCATTGTTTGAGCAGTCGTAATTCTTTTTTATCATTATATATGTCTTTAAGATTTTTGATAATCTACATTCTTCTTATAATGTTTAAATCAATTAGATGTGTAAAAAAAATAAAATTAAAAGAGTGAAAAAGGAAAGAAGACTAAAATTTCATGAATAGGAATAAGGATGTATATATCAAATTATCTCATACTTAAAACTTGACCCAAGAACTTACCATTGAGTCAATTGTAAGTTGTATTGGATGAGCTCACGATATTCGTATTTAATTATAGTGCATAATATATGTTTAGTGTTTATTTTTATATTATGTGACATAGTAAAGAAAAACTAATTCAAAATGAAAGTTAGAATAAAATAAAATTCTTTAAGAAATAAAAGTCTAGGGTTGGGCCAGGAGGGTCTCTTAACTCCCTCTTTTTTCTTCTCATCGGAGTTATTTCACAAATACTTGTTGTGGTAAGGAAGATAGGGGGAACAAGCACACTTGGAGAGCGCAGTACAACGAAGAGTTGTATGCTGCGTTCGAAAAGGATGAATCGCTCTCGAAAAGGAATCTATTGATTCTCTCCCAATTGGTTGGATCGTTGGTGCCATGATTTACTTCACGGGCGAGGTCTCTAGTTCAAGTCCAGGATGGCCCAGCTACGCCAAGGAGAAGAATAGAAGGAGCATCTGACTCCTTCATGCATGCTCCACTTGGCTGGGGGGGATATAGCTCAGTTGGTAGTTCAATGTGCTCATCAGCGCTTGACCCTGAGATGTGGATCATCCAAGGCACATTAGTTTAAGCTATAATGCTATTTTTTTTATCTCAAATAAAAATAAATTAAAAGTTAAAAATAATAAAACTGAAAAGTAAATTAGAAAAAATAAAAAGGAGAAGAAAAATAAAAACACGAAGAAAAGTAAAATAGAGTCTAATTAAAAGTGAGACTAAAAGAAAAATATGATTAATTATGTAGGAGTTTGTGATAGTAATATTCTTATTTCAGCATATCCGGATGGCAAATGAAAGCCCAAAACACTGCGATTAATCCGCTCGTAAAATTCTTGTACAAAAAGCCCAGCCCGTTAAAAGACATTAGTTGGGACTTCGGGATTATTAATGTACATATATACACACACACACACACATATACATATATGATCAGTGATAGATCCTTCAATTTTATTTGGGCTCCGTTAAAATTTATTAGATCCTTATTTTAAATGTCAATTTATGTAGATTAATTTTTTTTTTTTACTTTATTTGGCATTTGTAAATTATTTGGAAATTTTTGTTAAACTAAAAGATCTTTTCTTAAATTACAATAAAATTTTTATCTTACTTGTACGTTACAAAACTTAATTTTATTAGAATTGTAATTCTTGTTTATTTAATGGTAAATTAATAATATGTGTTTTAAATTTAATAACTAATTGTAAATAGTGTCTAAATAATTAATTTATATTATATGTGTATGTATATATTCACAAACGAACTCAATGTCAAGCAAAAGAAACTGCAAAGCAAAATCACCAAACACCTGTATAAAGCTATATACTTACACATCGACTAAATACCACTAATTAATTATATGTTAAGGAAGAAAGAAAACAACACCAACAGCAGCCATAGCTGAATTAATGTTAAACAAGAAAACAAACCAGCAACAAGATGAAACAAGAATCCATAATCTAATTTACTTATGATGATTTTAGTTGGAACCCAATGGCGAACACTTCTCGTAGCCTTTAATTTGTTTAAACCTTCAATCACTACTCGCTCTACATACTGCCAAAATTTTCACTTTCTTTATAAGCAAGCATTGTTAATGTTATGCAGTGCGATAATGGCTCCAAAAAACCAACTATCGATTCTCGCGTCACTTTCAGCTACCCTGCTTTTCCTTCAGCTCATGATTTCCACGGCTGCTATCTCTCTCTCACATTCTTCGTTCATCGGCAGAATCCCTCGGAATACTCGCCGAGTACATTCTAATTACAGGCTTTTGGAGGACACGATGAAGCCGGTCGCCGGTGATATCAAGAGTGTGATCAGGGTTGCCAAAGACGGCACAGGCGATTTCTCGACGGTGACTGATGCAGTGAAGAGTATACCGTCGGGGAACACACGTAGCGTGGTGGTTTGGATAGGTGGGGGTACGTACTGGGAGAAGATCACCATCGATAGATCCAAGAAGTTCATCACGTTCTACGGAGATCCCGAGAATATGCCCACCATCGTCTTCAACGGGACGGCGGCGCAGTACGGGACGCTGTATAGTGCCACCGTGGCCGTGGAGAGCGATTACTTCATGGCTGTGAATATTGATTTTGTGGTGAGTTTAATGTGTGTATATATATCAACTATTACTTTAGTTTATCACGTACGGTAATTAAGTACCCTTTGTTAATTAATTATATGTGTTTATTTCTTTTTGTAGAATTCAGCTCCAATGCCAGACGGAAAACGAAAAGGAGCACAGGCGGTGGCAATGAGAATATCAGGGGACATGGCAGCCTTCTATAACTGCAGTTTCTTAGGGTTTCAAGACACGTTGTGTGACGATAGAGGCAGACATTTGTTCAAAGATTGTTACATTCGTGGCACTTATGATTTCATTTTTGGAAATGGCAGATCGGTCTATTTGGTTCTTCTCTCTCTCTCTCTCTCTCTCTCTAATATATATGCATATATTTATAGGTTATTAATTAAAACATTAAGATAGCTTACATAAAATGAATGATGATGATGATGCAGAATTCGATTCTCCATTCAGTGGCAATTGGGATGGGTGTGGTCACAGCACAGGCAAGAGAGAGCGAGGAAGACGAGAGCGGATTCATCTTTCTGCATTGCAAAATTAAGGGAAGAGGCGACATTCTCTTGGGTCGTGCTTGGAAGAGCAGATCCAGAGTTATATTTGCTCATTCTGACATGGCTTCTCTCGTCAACCCTCTTGGCTGGTCTACTGGCCATCACCCAGAACGTGAAAAGTACTACTACACATTAATTAGTATAGATAATTATGTATATCTGAGCTATATATATTTATATATGTGGGTATTTGCTTTCAGGACAGTGTATTATGGAGAATACAAGTGCAGTGGCAGAGGTGCTAAGACTTCTGGGAGAGTTGGATTCGCGAAGATGCTCTCAGATGAAGAAGCCAAACCCTTCTTGGGCACAACATTCATACAAGGATCCCAGTGGATTCTCCCACCTCCTAAACTCTAAAACCTTTTATATCTTCACTTTCTTAATTTTGTAAATCATCAGATCAGACTTCCACCACCACCACCACCACCACTTCTGCAACTCTCTACAAATATGTATACATACACATTAAATAAATTAGACCATGTTATCATGCACAGGAAGTTTAGATAAAAGCTACTCAATAACTTCATTCCCTTATCAAAAAAAAAAAAACTCAATTAGAATTACTCAAGGTAATAATAAAAAAGCAAAAGTTAAAAGAAAAGAAACGGGTAAAATGTTTTATAACATTTAATCAAATGAGTCTATGTGAAGTCTTTCTTTCCTACCTTTTGATTTGCAACTATTTAAATCAGTGAACAATATTTTTATCTACTTGCACCATGAATGGAATTTTTATTGTTGCATACAAATTACATCGCTAATTAGTTTACATTATGTGGTAGGTATCTAACACCTTCTTATCTCCAAACTTAAATCAATGATTGTTTTTTTAATTGAATTTTCTTTTGGTGTATTTTGAAATTTTGGGTGTAGATAGCAAACGTTTAGAATGTAAACAGAATGGAAATAATTAATTTTCTTAAAATAAAAAAAAAAAAACTAAAAGAACCAAAATTGAAAATTTTGATATAACCTTTTCTTGATAGGTTTTAGTATTTTGGTTTAGAGAAAATTTAAAAAAGGAAAAAATTTTGTGTTCTTATACTGCTGCCAAAAAAAAAATGACTTCAAATGTATGTAATTAAAAAAAAAATAATAATAATAAAATTTATGAAATTGAACAAATCTAAATCATTAACCAACATCAATCCCAGTTATGCCAAGCTAGAAACAGCCCTCCTAATTAAATCGACAGCAGGTGACTAGTCACTAGATGCATGGATTTATATAATAAAAAAGATATTTTATGATACAAAATAATACAATTTTTCTTAGTATAAAATAATATTTAACAAATTTATATAAGATTAAAGTCCGACAATTTTTCAACTATTAAGGAGAATATAGATAATTAATAGATTAAAACCTACTTGTCTACTGAAACTTATTATTCAATTATATCATAATCCTAATCGTGCATGCAATAAAATATTTTTATTAATATATCAAGTTATAAATTATAAAATGTGTATCCACGAATGAATTCGCAAGAGCATAAAATTATTCAAGTAACCAAATGATAATTAGAGTATTGTCCCACATGTATTGTCTATCGAGTATTAAAATTGTAAAAAATTTTATTATTATCTAAAAATTAAAATTAGAATTTATTAAAAAAAATTAGTCAAAACAAAATAATTAAATTGAGAAAAACTATCAACGTAAATGCATCAGAGTAATTGATTTCACTTTAGTTTTTGGTATATTTGAATTTTAATTTTACAATCAATTTAATTTAATTTACAATGGTTGAATTATCCTAATATAATTTCAGTTTCCTCCATATATTTTTAAAATTTATCAATTAACAACTGTTAATCTTTTTATAGTAATTATTAATTTGATTCAATTTAGTTTTTGATAAGTAGATTAATCCATGTTAACTTGACTGTGTCACTCTCATTCAAGTTTTAATTAATGTTTGATAGTATATATTTAATTAATAGAATTTTATTTCTGTTATTTTAAAACTATCAATCGCAACTAAAATAATGAGTTAGCTAATTCTCACAATCTAATTAAGTTCAATACTATTAAATTACAATTAGAAGAAAGCTGAACTAAAAGTTCATGTGATTCATATTACGTCAATTAATCTAGTAAATAAAACTTAATTGCATATGGTAGATTGAGCAGTAACAATTATAAATGAGAAAAATATAATCACGCAATAATAAAAAATAAATTCTCAACAAATTTCAAATACTAGCATTCAAGTTTAAAAGAAAATCCTGAAAATTTCAACTTAAATAATACAAATTGAAAACTAAACAAAAATTAAATTACGTGAATATTTTTCTCAGTTTCTCCCTTTAACTTCTATGTCTTCCTGCTTCAGTTCAATACTATTAAATTACAATTAGAAGAAAGCTGAACTAAAAGTTCATGTGATTCATATTACGTCAATTAATCTAGTAAATAAAACTTAATTGCATATGGTAGATTGAGCAGTAACAATTATAAATGAGAAAAATATAATCACGTAATAATAAAAAATAAATTCTCAACAAATTTCAAATACTAGCATTCAAGTTTAAAAGAAAATCCTGAAAATTTTAACTTAAATAATACAAATTGAAAACTAAACAAAAATTAAATTACGTGAATATTTTTCTCAGTTTCTCCCTTTAACTTCTATGTCTTCCTGCTTCAGCTTCGGCTAATTCCACTATTTGACTCTGCAATCTCGCTCCATCAGTTTGCCGCTTTGGACCTTTGCTTTTAATCTGCTTTCGATCAGGCCTTCTGCCCAACTCATATTCAGTTGCCTCTGCTCGTGTCTTATGGTCTCCTGTCAAGCTCCTACGTTTTTACTAGTTGTCTCTTTGTCTCTCAGTCCGTTCAGTTGTGCTTAGGTTATGCTTTTGTAGGTGGCGAGAGTTGGGGTAGGGTGGTTTTCGCATGCCTCCTCTCCTTTCCTTTTGTGGCGAGCCTTTTTCCCTTCCAGCCGCGTCTTTTCCTCTCCAGAGGCGTATGTCTTCTTTTGATTTTGCTACTTTTTTTTTCTCAAAACAACGTCGTTTTGGAGAGTAAAGAGTTGGGATTGAATGGATCTAGGCTTAGACTTCATGGGTTTAGGCTTTTGGCTTCTTTTTCTTTTCTTCTTTTCTCTTTAGCTTTTTTTTCCTCTTTTCTTCAACAATATAATATGTTATACGTTAGATTTTTGTTTAAATTTTCTACTATTTTTACTTAAATTTGGAAGAACTTTTAAATTAATTTGAGTTAAAAGTCATTTAATAGACAAAATTCTTGATGCATGTTGCATTTGTGAAAATCTAAAC